TAACGTTCCATCCCCGGCGTTCTTCTGCTCTTGTGAACTCGAGAAGCGAGGCGTGAATTGTGGAAGAATCTTAACCGTATATTTCTCTCGTGAGAGACTGCATCGGTTAGTGATTCATGGGGAATGAGTAATATATTCGGGATGATGTGTTTATGTTCTGTAACACATTCGTGATGTCTTTTTTACCTCCGACAGAGAGGTTGTTTTTGGTCGTGTTGGTTAGTTTGTTTGTTCGTTGTTTACTAGGATAACTCAAAAAAGTTATGAATAGATTTCTACCAAAGGTGTGTCTTAGCCCAAGTTAGATGCCATTAAATTTTGGATCATGATCTGGATCCAGGAATGTTTTAATAATTGCATGAGTTACCCCTATTGCAAATGCAAGTTAAAAAGTTAAGAGAATTTCATGGATTTTTTTTAACCAGAAGTGTGTCTTGGCCTAACTTAGATTCCATTGGATTTTGGTGGTGATCCGGGTCCAAGAATTTTTTTAATGGCTGCATTAGTTACCACTGTTGCATTGCCAAGGACATTATGTACTTGAGAAAGGGGATTTTAATGTGATTCTTCCAGTATGAATATTTTCATTGCATCATTATTAAACAAATTTCAAATGTTGACACTTAACAAAGTTTCGTATGTATATTCACGAGCAATGCGCCACTCAAGTTTATTATACAATTCGACTTTATTTTTTAAACACAAGAACTCCGTTTCGTTATGCATCTCAAATATTTTCCTTTGCTTTAAATTGCACTGTAATTTTTTTTTCTTCAACATGCATACACATTCCTTTTCATGATCATAATTTCACGAGCTAATGGTTCTTGTCATCCTGCGGGCCATTTGTGACTCTCCGGAAGCCACATCTCGCCCGCGGGCCATGAGTGTGACGTCCCTCGTGCACGCAGGTGCTCGTGCATAGATACATACATACATGCATATATACGTGTGTGTGTGTGTGTGTGTGTGTGTGTGTGTGTGTGTGTGTGTGTGTGTGTGTGTTGTGTGTGTGTGTGTGTGTGTGTGTGTGTGTCTCTCTTCTCTCTCTCTCTCTCTCTCTCCTCTCTCTCTCTCTCTCTCTCTCTCTCTCTCTCTCTCTCTCTCTCTCTCTCTCTCTCTCTCTCTCTCTCTCTCTCTCTCTCTCTCTCTCTCTCTCTTCTCTCTCTCTCTCTCTCTCTCTCTCTCTCTATAATATATATATATATATATATATATATATATATATATATATATATATATATACTGGAGACAGAGAGAAATATAATTCATACCAGAAAGAAAAGATTGTGATGTCCCCAATATATTCGTATTCTGAACTGTAAATTAGGCGGATCTCTCTTATATGTATATGTCCACTTAAGATGGTGGTTCGCTTACTGTTGGCAACAAAGCTATTTCTTGGAGTAACGAGGAAATTTCGTAAAGTAACAGTGCTTTGGAATAAAACTATGAATGAATGAATAAATAGGTAAATCAATGACCAAATGATGATAATAAATGAATGAATGGATTGGTAAATGAATGAGTAAATGATAATAATAAGTTAGTGATAAACCGTTCATTGCGGATGGCTTACTGCTGTGAGGCTAGTTAGTTCGTAAACAGAACACAGGCGGGAAGCAGATACAATATGCAGATGCTGGTGTGCGCTCCTTGTCCTCTACAGACCTTCGCAGTGATATGTTATTAAAGAACAAACAATAACATGTTTCTCATTAGTAATGCGAAAGTAATTTCTATTTTTTTATGAACTACGAAAGATTTTAGGACCAATTTGTAATTAAAGAAACAAAATATGTGAAGATTTTAAGACCAATTTGTAATTAAATAAACAATGCTTCAATTTTCTGTTGAAGTAATGATGTCTTTATTCTTTATTTATCGAGTAAAATTAGTTTCTTACATAAAAAAATATGAAAAATTACACATTTCAATATTTTCTTTTCCTTAACATGGTTGAAGAGGAATGAAGAAGGGATAATAGACACTATAAACTTCGTGGTAATAATTATATGTAAATTTGTTTAGGTGAAAAAACGCCTAATGTCAGAATAGGCTTTGACATTCAGGTATTTGGGACATAGGAAAATAGTCAAAGAAGTAAGAATAGAGTCAAAGAGAAAATGTGAGAGAAAGGAGGTGAATAGGCAAGGAGGAGAGTGAGCAGTTTGGAGAATAACCAGTTTGTACACTTGCACAGAAGCTGAGGAAACGAGCGGTAAACTGAGAGAGAGAGAGAGAGAGAGAGAGAGAGAGAGAGAGAGAGAGAGAGAGAGAGAGAGAGAGAGAGAGAGAGAGAGAGAGAGAGAGAGAGAGAGAGAGAGAGAGAGAGAGAGAGAGAATAGAGAATAGAGAATACTTCAAGAACAGAACAAAAATTGAAAGGTGAGATACATTGTTACTTACATCAATTTGCTCCTACTCTCTTCATTTGCTTGTTATTGTTCTATTTTTTGTTATTGAATTAAGTTAAACCGAGTTTTGCAGCTGACACCGAGCTGCTGCGGGTAAAAGCACGAGTATGTAAAAGTTAACATTTCTGTTGTGTGGAGTTTACCATCTGTTGCGGTTTTTTAATGTTCTGTATCCTTGAATATAATATCAGTATCATATTATCATTATATTATTATCATTATTATTAGTAGTAACATCATAATCATCATTATAATTTTGCTTTGCTCTTTTTTCATATTGTCATTATCATTATTTTTTATCATTAGTTGTAGTAGTAGTTGTAGTCGTATCAATGACATTGATACCATTATTAGTCTTGCTTTGATTTATCTATACTTATATTATCATTATAGGGATCTTGTAACTACCAGCATTCTATATTCTTCCTAAGATAAGCATCATTTCACAATATCTTTTAAAACATACCCTTTTTTTCAATAAAAACAAATCCATAATTCAATCAATGTAATCCGTCTTTTGATAAAGCGAACTGAGAACAAGAACAAAAATGGCTCCACAACTTATACAATATACACTATACAGAATTACATTATGCATAGGAGGAGTCCTTCCTTTACCTCCTCACAACCACAACCTTGACCCCCTGATTCCCCAAGCGTGACTTCCCGGCTAGAGTCCTTGATCCCGGCGCTGCTATGCTGACTAGCTCCTCCGTCGCTCAGTGACTAGCTAGATTTTACGTGTGATTATAAAATAAGAAAGTATTGTTTGGTTGTATTTTTTTTCAGTGAGGTGAGTGAATATTATTATTATATATATATATATTTTTTTTTTGGGGGGGGTTATGGTTTGCTCTAATGTTCGTTGGAAATTGTCTGTGTTTAGGTAGTTTGTTGGATAGATTATTAAGGTTTGGTTTGAGGTTTGTTCATGGTTCATCCGAGTCGTAATCACAGTGATAAGTTAGTCTTCGTGTGATTTGGCCTCTATCTGGCAACCCCTTTGACCTCTTGGTATATAAACCTAACCACTGAATTTACATTTATACACCACGTGCCATACATACCACTATATCGCACTATTAAAACAGTGTTCCCAAAATCACACAATATCTTACATACCATCACTCAGATATCAACTAAACACGTTTCAACAAGTCTGTATTAACCCATTTACAATCTCCCACAATAAACGAAGAACACATTTCTTGCCAGGTATGATTCACAGGTAAGTCACTGTGGCGGTCACACCCTCATGCCTTTTACGTCAAGTAAGTCAAAATTTGCATACATCGATCAAAAATTCATCGGTTAAAAACCAGTTTGTTTGATCTCACGAAAAGCCGAAACGTGTCTCTCCTCTACAATATCCCTTATATTTTTGGAAATTCATATCAGCATTCCATTAAAAAGTGTGCCATGACTCAACACTCTCAACGTGAAAGATTCCTGCACGCCAAGAGGTATCACCGACCACTTGGAAGTACGAGATTCATGCACACTTTAAAAGAATGCAATATTCGTATTCTTTCAATGTCTCTCTCTCTCTCTCTCTCTCTCTCTCCTCTCTCTCTCTCTCTCTCTCTCTCTCTCTCTCTCTCTCTCTCTCTCTCTCTCTCCTCCCCTCCCCTCCCTCTCCCTCCCTAACCCTCCCTCCCTCCTCCCTCCTACTCCCTTCCCCCTCCCTCCCTCCACTCCTACTCCTTCCCCCCCCCCCCCTTCCTCCTTCCCTCCTAACCCTCTCCTTCCCTCCCTTAACCCCCCCTCCTTGCCCCTAACCCCCTCCTTCCCTCCCTAACCCCCCCCTTCCCTCCCTAACCCCCTCCTTCCTCCCTCCTCCTTTCCTCCCTAACCCTCCGTCCTTCCCTCTCTCTCTCTCTCTCTCTCCTACGCCTTCCGATTACCTCACAGCTGCCCATCCCATTCCCAACCCAAGCACGACAGGCCCAGGAACACGCCGAGTGCTGTCTGTGCGTGAGAACCCGAGGCTGAAACGCTTACCGGTGTCGAGGTGCCAGGTATCGCTAGCGGGGGCATTTCTTTCGCTTTGTTTTTTTCTCTTGAATCTTCTTTTAATGACTGGTGTGGGCGAGGAAGAAGTTTCAGATCGTAGAGGAAAAGTTCGTTATATGATAAATTAATATGTGTCGTTTCCGGTTTAATGGGCGATGCGTAGTTTGCAAGGAGAGATAATTACAAATATTTGGCACTCGGAATTTCGCCTTTTGACCTTCAACACGGATGTAGGTGTTCCAAGACGTATTTTTTTGTTTGTTTGTTTGTTTGTTGGACCATGGACTGAAGTTTGGCCTAAACGAAGATAGGTAAAAACGGAATATTCGAAGTAAATTATCTGCTACTTCTAATGTCACTATTACCATTATTAAACAGTAAAGTGATAATGATGATCATGATAATGATAACGATAATAATGATGTAATGATAATAAGGATTATAATTATTAAATTTATGATAATTATAGTTATTGGCATTATCATTATTATCATCACTGATATCATCACCACCACCATCATCACCATCACCATCGTCATCATCATCATCAGTATCAATATCAATATCATTTATATCATCATCAACAGTACATCCCGAGAAACAACGACAGAAAGAAGAATCACGAGCACGTGGGTGTATGGTGCCCTACCCATCTTGCCTTAGAAACTCGGCGTGGATTGGGAGTCGAGAGTGAGTGGGCTTCACCGTTGGTTCTCAACTGGAGGAACCGGCACAGAGGCTCCCTTCCTCGGGGTTGGTCTGATTTCGAAACATATCTCGACTTCTGATGAACGGGGTTTGGTGGTGTGGAGGCGGAAGAGGTTGCTGTGTTATCCATGTTCGGTGCTTGTGTGTGTTTTTCTCTCTGTCTGTTTGTTTGTTTGTCGGTCTTCTCTGTCTGGCTGTCTGTTGTCTGTCTGTCTGTCTGTCTGTCTGTCTGTCTCTGTCTCTCTCTTTCTCTTTCTCTTTCTCTTCTCTCTCTCTCTCTCTCTCTCTCTCTCTCTCTCTCTCTCTCTCTCTCTCTCTCTCTCTCTCTCTCTCTCTCTCTCTCTCTCTCTCTCTCTCTCTCTCTCTCTCTCTCTCTCTCTCTCTCGCACGCTTTCTCACTCTCTCTTCCTTCATCCCTCCGGTTTGTCCCCGATATACAGTACCATGATAAGGGCGACTCAATACATTCGTAATACATTCTCGCCCTTATCTTTGTAAGTCTAACGTGAAATGTGGGAAGAACCTGGCTGTCAAGGGCACTGTCACGGGCAATGACAGGCGGAGGCGATGACTGATTATGCCACGACAAGGAAGACAGGCTTTCCTTCCATCATCGTAAAATAGTCACGGAAAATATATAATTCCTCCATACTTTTGAAGGTCTTTTGGAAATCGATGCGCTTGGCTTTTGTTTTTAATATATCATTAAATTTATGATAATTATAGTCATTTTTATTGTCATTACCATCATCACTTTTATCATCACTGATATCACCATCATCATCATCATCACGGATTTTGTTTGTGATGCACACACACACACACACACACACACACACACACACACACACACACACACACACACACACACACACACACACACACACACACACACACACACACACATAATATATATATATATATATATATATAAAATATATATATTTATATATATATTATAAATTTTTCATTTATTCCCCACGATGAGAAATTATGTAATAGCAAAGAAAACATCATGTACATAACAAATGCATTTGTTTACGACGCTTCCCCTGTTCCGTGTAAGTTTAGCAGAAAAACGCAATTTTATCTTCCCTTGGCCCGTCATATGACTTCCTCCGTTCACAGTCATTAAATCAGTCACGCATGTCACAGCAAAAACACAGACGAAATGTATTAAAGCAGGCCACTTACAAGACGTATTTTGTTATTTTAAAGTATTTACCGATGTCTTAAGTCTAGTTGTTTATTATACACTTGCTTAAATGTTGCTAAAAAATCGTATTGGCAACTCAGTTTCAAGGTGAAGTTTTTTTTCTTGATGAAAAGCATTATCCTTCATATTCAAAGAATGTTCGTAGTGATGTCATCTTTATTATTAAACATCAATGCCATCTAAAAGCGTACTATGTTGCGTCTTACGTAATACAGACATATATATATATATATATATATATATATATATATATATATATATATATATATAAAATAATATATATATATATATATATATATATATATATATATATTATATAATATATATATAAGCACACACACAAATGTATATATATATCTATATCTATATCTATCTATCTATCCTTCTCTCTCTCTCTCTCTCTATCTCTATATATATATATATATATATATATATATATATATATATATATATATATATATATATATATATATATATATATATATATATATATATATATATATATATAGTATTATATATATATATATATATATATATATATATATTCTCTCTCTCTCTCTCTCTCTCTCTCTCTCTCTCTCTCTCTCTCTCTCTCTCTCTCTCTCTCTCTCTCTCTCTCTCTCTCTCTCTCTCTCTCTCTCTCTCTCTCTCTCTCTCTCTCTCTCTCTTTAGTAGAATACAAAGTCCCAGTCATCAATTTTAATTGCTACCATACAATTTAATATCATTAATATTAGGAATGACATCATCTTTGCTTTCAAATCTCTCTCCTTTCTATTTTTTCTTTTTTTCATTGTCAGCGAAAGCCCACGCCTGCACCGCTATATTAGGCACGCGTTTAGAAACCTTCAGTCAAGAGGTCACTGGAAACCAGAAAAAAAGAACTAAGGCACAGCACACACCTATAGATTTAGTTCATCCACGTGCACATGTGTATTTTTAAAAGGAACATTTAAGAAACACGTGTACGACATGTAAACAAAGCGAGTCGGATCGACAAAATGTAAACAATAAACAAAACATGACAACACATCATCCTTGGCGAGTGGCGCTCTCTTTCAACTCCAACACTCGACTTCCAGGATACGGCAGGACTCAGGTGGATCCTTCTCCTTAAACTTGAGGTGAGTTGGGAGGACAAGACAGAAGAGGGTTTGATGTTGAGTGTCCCAGTAAGTGTCCTTTCGTGTGTGTTTGTTCCTTGTTCTGCGGTGTGTGTTTGTGTGTGTGTATGTGTGTTGCGTAGGAACTGGTTCGTTGTTCCTCGTTCCTAGTGTGTGTGGTGTAGGCGGATGGAGGAGGAGGGACCGTTCAACCAGGAAATCAGAAGAGGATTTGTGGCTTACCATTTGCTGTCTTCATGGCGAACGAAGTACTAAGAGGAAGGCTGTCCTGGTTTCTGTGATTGGAGTACTTCATGTAACTCAGTAAGTCGTACTACCCGGTAGATTTAATCGTATTTTTTAGGTAGTAGGGGGCGTGTGTTTTGGCTCAGTAGCTGTTTAGTCATTTCACTCTTAGTGGTTTAATCCTAAGATACTTACATGTCATATGATTACTGTGTCAGTAAAATTTTGTTTCTTGTATTAATTTATCATGTTTATTAGTTTTGCCCTAACAAGTAAATACTCTGTGTTCAATAGGCTAAAGCAGCCAAGTGTTGGTATTGTGCTCTGGTGCTGTGAGTGATGAGGACCCCCAACTATTTGTATTACAGGTCGAGGTGGTGATCTAAAGAACCTGTATATTGAGGCTATATGTCAGTTTTAATTGTGTTCTTAATGTCAGGTGACAAATTTTGCAAATGTAAGTAATGTATTATTTGTTAAGAATTGTATTTTATTTATTATGGCTATTTTGTTCCATTACTTTAATCTTTATTATGATTTTTATATAAAGTACCACACATCAAATAATACCATGGCCTCCAACCATAGCATATTGGGAAACGCCAGCAAACTTATACCACACATACTCTGGCAATATAAAACTTTCGCTGATTCCATATTTATCTGTAAATCATTAAAAACACCTTCCTACTCAGTCTTGTCAGATTATATGTGGTAGAGGTTTGCTACCATTCTATGACATGTGTAAGGTGTCTATGTGGTAAACTGGAGTTTTTCTTTTTCTGATCATGTTAGTCGATAACCCCCAACCATAAGCTGGAGTACCAGCTACGAGGGGTTATCTGTAAAGGAAACTTTTCATATATCTTCATGAATTAAGTTTCCTATGTTTAGAAAATTTGGTCAGCAACACCCTTAAGATTTAATATGATTTTTTTTTTGAGGAGTATTTACAGATAATAATTATTGCTGGAGTATTCATAGTTAAGAGGTTAACCACTGCTGGAACATGAAATTCTGCAGTCATTGTATTGCATTATCCATAGTCCAATGTTTTTGAAAATGAGACTTTTTTTGTGCAAAAATCACCTCAGGATGAGAATGTAAAATCCATTGTTGGTAATACCCTCAGACAGTTTAATGATAACATTTGTGTTATGATTATATATATGTAATATTTAATCAATACAGGGTGACCCATCACGTGTATATCAAAACATCATTGTGCAACATACCAGTTTGAGATAGGAGGATTTTAAAATTTGTTAATATAGATGTCTTCTTATATTGCAGGCTGAATGCAGGCATGAGACAGAGAATCAGTGTCACGATGAAGTCATTATTACACCTTGTAATCATACTCCCGTGTCTGGAGGGTTTTCGATGGAAAGACCTGAAGATCCACTCAGAGCACATGGCAATATATTTCCAAAACAATCCTGAAATTGCCAAAGAATGTGAAAAAAGCTCCTCATGTCCTTTTAATGTAAGTTTAGGTTTTAAGCTCATGTCTTTTGAGAAGTAAGATGTGAACAAATAGAAGAGTATCTAAAACTTTATAGTAAAAGCCATTCTACAGCTGCATGTAGATTCATAGGATATGCACTTTCATAACTTTTATCTCTTATTTGGTTGATATTCAAAGGCTTATTCATTGTTATTCTAAAGTTCCTTGCAAATAAGTCTTAAGAACATGTGACTTTTGTATAAAGATAAGACAAGGTGTATATATAATGCAAATAGTAAATTAGATGGTACAAGGTCTATTAAGCAATGTGAACATATAAACTTTCATTGGTAAGAGAAATAAGTAAATAATGGAGGAAGATGAAAATGTGTTTTGTTAGTTTTATACTTTGGAAAGAGAAAGACATATCCTATATGGTATATCACTCTTTAATGAACTGATTCACTATAGTAACTTCTGAAAGCTCATTCACTCTCAGACTGTTGATTGAGATGGTAACTTTGGGAATTCCAGTCACAGAAGTTACATAAAGTTAGGGATTATATATTGTCATGTTTAATCTTTACTTTTAATTTTTTGGTCTTGCTTGTTAAAAGTGAAGGAAATGAAGGAATGGAACTCGATTTGTCCAACCATATCTTTAAAAATGATTAACTAATTTGTTTTTTTCAGATGCATCTAAACCGTAAAATTTGCTGGGGTTATGAGAATGATTGCCAAAAAGAGTATGCGTATAGCCATCCCTCATGTCCTGGTGAACACAGAGGTAAGTAAATTTAGGTCTAGTGATAAGGTTATGCCCCTGACACTTATTGTTGTAAATCTGGGGCACAAGATAAATAATTTTGTTTATATTGTTGTGGGTTATATGGGCTCCCTAGCCTCACTGTCTAAAATGACAGACCTTGGTACATTGTCCTTTCAGTGACAAATGAAACTTTGTGACCAGTGACTAGGATATGAAGCCTTGTTTTGTATCTTATATATAGCTCAACAACAAGAAAATATGAATACATTTTTGCAGTATATTTGCTTTAGATAAATCAGATAGAACAAGCAGGAAATATTTTATATACAGTACTTTTTTGTTTATCCATACATAGACATATAACAATAGGTATATAAATATAACTTTTATACCTTTTCTCAGGCTGGGTTAGAACCAAGGAAGAGCAAATAGCCACATTCTATAGTCAGGGGGACTTCGGGTTTATCCAGGAGCAACGTGAAGAGTTAAAAACATACTGTCATCCAGAACAGGAGGTATGATGCTTTAGTCTGTACATTATAATGACGTAATGAAATGGTTTTCAAGCTATGACAGAAAGATATTTATTTCAATGGTTTTCATCTAATACATTATTTTTGTCACATAATAAGTATTTTTTTTTAAGGTTATCACAGATTTCAGTATAGTATCATATGAAAGCATAATCAACATTATTTTTACAGGGAGATTCGGTGCTTGAATGTAGTGACCATATGAGATTTTGCCGAGGGAAATATATATCCATAGACTTCCGTGATCTGGCCAGTCGAAAGGAACCAGTCCTCTACAATGTTGATGTTTTGAAGCATGGACAAGTTAGTGGCCATTGCAAGTGAGTGAAATACAATAGTTCCGTTTGAGATTTCCTGCTCTTAAGGTCATGTTCTGGATGTATTTTTCTCTCTCTTTACCTCTTTCTTTCTTTGTTTCTTTCTTCTGTTAACCAGATTGGGAGGGGTATTAAATTCTGTATGACTAGATGGTAATATAGAAGAAGTAAGTGATAAAGAATGAGTACTTTTTTTTCCGAAATTATGGTTGAAAAATCGGAAAGCATAAAAATGGAAAATATAGGAAATTCAGATTTTTTCCTAAAGCAAGTAAAATGTTCTCATAATTGATTGGATGAGCCAATGGTTTTCTATTATCTCACTGATCTTGAAACATGCACTGTCCACTGTAGTTTTGTTGAAGTTTATTGTTACTCTGTAAGTGCTTAGTCAATTAGGAGTCGTTTATTTGAACTATTTGACATAACCGATCAACTTTATTCCTTGAATATTTATAATTTTCTTTTATATCTGTTACTATTATTGTGGTAATTAGATATTTTTATTGTTGATATTATGTTTATTATCATAATGTTAATGGCAGAAATGATAGCAATTTTTTTTTTTCTCATGACAGCAATATATATTTTTTTCAATTATTCAAAGAATGGAGTAAATATATGAGATTAGGTAGGCCTAGTAAATAAGTCCTTGGTGACTAAATGTTTATGCAGCCAAGTAAAGTAAAACCACAGTAGACGGTGCATATACGCGTTCACTCCAAGTATCAATAATTTAATGTTGCAGTTCTCTGTACATGTTGATGATTGTTATTGTGATCCCATTTTGATTGGCTTCGTATATCCCATAGAGCTTGTTATGATGTGAAACAACAGTAAGGAAACTTCTTACTGTAACTGTTTCAGGCATTTTTTTTTTTTTTTTCACTAGTTTAATTATTTAAGTAGATATATTTTGATGAGCAGATTGAATGTCCATTAATTTTACCCCAGTGTTTTGTAGTCAGTAGCTAGATTTGTGGAATATGCATGACTTTTCTGCTTTTTAGGCAAAAAAGAAAGTTATGTAAAACCTCAAAAGAATGGGTAATTATATGAATAGAGAGACCCATTGAATTTCTGAGTGCATGATGAACTCACTGTGTTATTAGATAAAGAGATTACATTAGAGAGAGAAGTAAGACATTGTAATTATTAGCTTCAAGGAATTTTATCTTTGGATTATTTACCTACTTATGTTTAGTTAGCTTCATATTTTGTCTCCTTTGAATATTCATACGTAAATTTTTTAAGCATAATTTAGATTCATCGAGACTTGATGATTGATTGGTCTTAGTATAAATGTAATTTACTCATTTTTATCCCATAAGTAGCCTTACCCTCATTTTATAACTACCCTATAACTAACCCCATAATAGAATAGAAGTAATAAAAAGCAAAATAAATTAAAATGCTAGAAGCAGTACCCTCCTCTCACTGACTAGGAAGAAACAGATGCTCTCACAAGTCCGAAGTAACATTCGCTTAAGTTAAAGTACTTGTACATTTCAGATTAGATAAAAGCTTGCATAAAGCCAATTCTGATCAGATTAGCTTCCTCCAGTCTTGGGGCCCAGAGTTGCAACACTTCACAGAACGGAAGGAGAGGGTGCAGCGCAATGCGGAAATGTGTGATGTGTGGGTGGAAGACCCTGCAGTTATTATGAAGCTCGATGCTAGTAAGTGTTTGATTTCTCTTTTACCTCTCTGTCTCTCTCTCTTTCTTTTTTCTCCCTCCTTCCCTCATTTTCTCTCCCTCCATCATTCTTGCCTACCCTTCTCTCTCTCTCTCTCTCTCTCTCTCTCTCTCTCTCTCTCTCTCTCTCTCTCTCTCTCTCTCTCTCTCTCTCTCTCTCTCTCTCTCTCTCTCTCTCTCTCTCTCTCTCTCTCTCTCTCTCTCTCTCTCTCTCTCTCTCTCTCTCTCTCTCTCTCTCTCTCTCTCTCTCTCTCTCTCTCTCTCTCTCTCTCTCTCTCCTCTCTCTCTCTTTTCCTTCCTCCTCCTCCTTCCCCCTCCCTCTCTGTCCCTCCCTCCTTCCCTCCTTCTGTCCCTTCCTCTCTACCTCTTCCTTCAATCCCATCTCATCTCCCTCTTCTGTGATTAGTTATGCAGTAACAATTAGATTTCCTAGTAATGTATTTGTTGAGCTTCATTTATTGATTTTACAATAGAGGTCCATTGATGTAGAAATGATTCCACACCACACATGGTAGTTGTATCTTTTAAAAAGGATAATGATTATTATGTTGATTCTTATAATGATTATAACAAGTATAATTTTGTAATGGTTATAATAATGATTGTGAAATAATTTTAATGATGAGGATTCTTAAAATTATTATAATGATGATAACTTTTTGGCTTTATTATAATAGTGATGATTATAAAAAACACTATAAGAATGACAGAAACATTGATGGTGAATAATGATAGCAATTAGAATAACAGTGCACACATTCATACCTGTCAAATAATACAGCTGTAGCCTAAAGCAGTGGTTTTTAAAGTGGGGGGCATGGGTAAGTTCCAGGGGAAACTCTTCCATAATTACATTTGGAATTCTCTTTAGGTTTATGTGTTGCTGTTGAAGAATTCTTTACTCAAAAAAAGACTTAGAACACTCACGTCTTTCACTTTGTACTCTTAATTCAGAAAAAAATTAAGAGTAAATTGAGAAATTTGATTGTATAGTTGAGGGTGAGGTTGAGAGTGTATGGAAGCAAGGACCAGTTTACAACAGGGGGGTGGGGCATGGTAGTAAGAACTTTAAGAGCCACTGCAAAGCATGTTATCCTATTTTTTAGAATGATTTTTTACCTCTCTTCTGTAACACCCACTTCATCCTTACACAGCAAGTAACATGTACCACCACTTTTGTGATTTCTTCAACCTGTATGCAGCCCAGCATGTCAACAATTCCGATGCCTTTGCGTTCTCCCGAAACAACCAGGTTGGTTATACCGCTTTGAGCTTTGTGCTTCTCAACTTCAGACAAAATCCTTCTTCGTGTATTTGGCTTTGGAGTTGTTATGGTTAATGTTATTAGTTATTAATAATTATTATAATTTTTTCAGCATTAATTTTGTTTTTGTTATTGTTCTTATTCAAGTTTCAGATTTATAGATAGAAATCAAATTAGTGTATATTAGTAGAATTAAAAGCAATTCCTAAAAATAATTAAATTCATACATTTAGTAGAAATAACTTCTAAACAAATCATTCATAATTGAATTTTATGTAGAATTAATTTCCATTATATTTTCCATTTGATCTTAAAAAGAAAATTATGATTTTTATCCATTAACATTTAGAATAGATGTCTGCGGCTAGTAGATGCTGCTGATTTCATATTTTTTCTTTTTATTAATATTCCATTTAACTGTCAGGCCTCTTTTTTGTTTTCATATTTATAACTTCATTTAGTCTCTTCTTCTGTTTGGAAAGAAGTTACATAAATTGAGATCTAAACAAGTTTTTCAACTGATTTTGAAAGAAAAATAATAACTTGAAATTGTTGAAGTATAAAAGCACAAAAAGAGAGGGAAATATCCATCACTGAATAATTAAATCTAAGAAATTGTAAAATGAAAACTTTGGAGTTCAGTCTTCGGTAACAATGTGATGGAATTCTCAGACCACCAACAGGAACAAACGCATACTTATTTCTTAACCCAGTGTCGAAGGAAAATGGTGTGTTCCCTTTGGCAATGCTTGGTTTAAATGTTTCTGCGCAAAGATTGCTCTGCCAATACTTAGCCACAAAGGAGTCAATTAGTAGATCTTACATCCTCACTTTTCCTTGAAAAAGTGGGAAAATGCTTTTCTTTTTACTAATGCTATCAATATTGACACTGCTATTTTGTTTAAACATTATAATTACTATATTGTTACTGACATTACTAACAGCAGTATTAAATAATAGAAAATATTGAAAATCAAGGAAAAGGGTAAACAGGTGAGACGTAGTTTGCGTAATTGACTCATTGGTGACTTGTGGAGCCATCTATATGTAAAAACAATTGCTAAATTCAACACACACAATGGGCAAAGGCATGTATGTACATGCCTTGCCTGGCGGCTTGGGGTTAAGCTCATTGTGAGCTTCCATATATAAATCCTGTTTGACTGTCTTATGTTGTAGATAGCACATGCATTCTGCTTTTTTGTATAACTGAGCCCAGTACTGTAGGCTGTCACCTTGCTTTGATTTTAGTATTTGAAAAGGCCCATTGTTTTATAAACCATGTGCTTGTTAAAATTATATTTCTAATTCCAATCCTTCCCCCTTCCATCCTCTCATTTCCTTTATGTTGGTCTTCCATTCTTAATTCCTTCTTTTCAAGGATGGTCATTTGTCAGCAATAGCCTCTTTCACATTTATATGTCTTTTTGGTGACAGTTATATGCATTCAACAGATAATATTGTGGAGGACTGTTATATTAACCTATAAAGTATGACAAACTTCAGAACTTTATGTACAAAGAGGATATGAAAAAAATGGGCAGCTTTAATACACAATTATTCTAGGCCAAGTACATTCTGATATGGATATATGTGACATGAGTAACTAAACCACATAGCTTTTTTGTCTTTCTAGTGGTGTTCTTTCATCATATCTAGGTGTTAGATGATAGGTGTCCTAAATTAAGCTTGAGCAATAAAAAAAACTTGGAATATGTTGTGAGGTCTTTCTCCAAATCTGGATGTCCTAATGATTGAATGACTACAACTATAATGCTTTAGTCCATTCCATAGACTTGGTCCCAAAATTTAGATAGAAAAGGGGCCATAATTCATCCAAAAATTGCTAAAATTAAACATGACCTGTGTTTTATTATAATATTCTTTGATGCTGCACATGAACCTAATTCAGCAATTCTTTCAAGCATTATTGCCTGAAGACCAGTGTATTGGATGGACTTTGGTAATTCTCATTGCTCTTTCCTTTTGTTTTTACCATAAGTACACACTCATATTATCTACTAGTTAATCTAGGACTAGTGGAGAGATGTAGCAATCCTTTCCAATGATGAGTTATCTCACACCCACAGATTCTACTTTGGACAACCTATACTTACCGGTCCAATTTTGGTGCAGCTTTTGATGCCTTTACAAAGAACAAGATATGGAACCTGGAGGATGTAAAAGGTAGTTGATATCAATGATTCTTGAAGAGTTTCTAAAGTTATTTTTTAAGATTTAGAAATTATGATTCAGAAATTTTATTTTTGTTATGTAAATGGACTTCTGTGGATTAAAGAGTTTCAGAAATTAATGTAATTTTAGTTATTTTCTCTTAAGATTTAGTAAATTGTGTTCTTTTTCTTATTCCCACAGGAAGAAGAGTGTGTTTCAAGAATGTTATGTTTCCACTTCTGCCAAGGATGATCTTTGGTCTCTATTACAATACTCCAATTGTATGTACTTTCTTCACTTGATAATATGTAAATAAGTCCCTAATTATACCCAAGGTCTCAGAAGTGTAAGATTATTTCTTTTATAGTGTAAATACTTCTGTTTCCTTTTTTTCTGTCTGTAAAGCCCATTTAGAAATTGTTATCAGAACCTGGTCTTATGGTAAATTGAAAATAGTGGGATTTATTTACTGGGAAAAGTATTAGGAAATTGCATTTGATATTTTTTTTAATTGGGAAAGTTTTCAGGTATTTGCAGTTATTATAGTTTATTTATCCCTCTGTCTTTCAGTAATATTCATCACTTTTGCTTTTTTTCAGATATGGGGTTGTGAAAACAGCGGCCTTTTCCATGCATTTTCTCGTCACATTCTACATCGATTGGACATTCCCGAGAGGTCCATAGGTGATGGCAGAATACACGTGACATTCCTTGTGAGGGATACAAAATACAGACGTATTTTGAATCAACCTGCCCTCATTAGAGCACTAGAAAAGAACAAGGAATTCTATGTTAGGAAGGTAAAGATTTGACATGTATAAAGAATAAAAGAATCTATCATGAAACAAACACGATCATGCTTAAAATATAGAGGTTCACAAATATATATATGTATAAATACAAAAGACCTTGGATATATATGTAAACCCTCTCATCTGTATGCATACACAGGTCACTTTTATCACTCAGCATTCTAAATCTATTTCAGGCAGAGTACAGCCATCAGATGGATTTCCGTCAGCAGCTGAGGCAGGATCAGTGGACAGACATTTTCATCGGAATGCATGGCGCAGGACTGACGCATTTGCTCTTCCTACCTGACTGGGCTGTACTCTTTGAGATGTAAGAGAGGAGAGTTTTTGTAGTATAGAATGCATGTTTGTTGAAATATAAAGTGTATCAAACATGCTTTTAGAAATTTTGATTTTCAAAGATACACTTTTTTTAAATAAGGTAAAAACAGAGGGTGAGATATGAAAAGTTGTGTTCATTTTTCATTTCAGATACAACTGTGGTGATGCAAACTGCTACCAGGATTTAGCTCGTCTGCGAGGCATTAAATACCTGACTTGGGAAGATCAAACAAAGCTCAAGCCTGAAGATGAGGTACAGTATATCTAGCAATGATATTTTTTGTGGTCATAAAATGCATTCTTTATTGACTATTGCTAATACTGTTATTGTTATTATTATTAGTTTTTATTATTGTTGTTGTTGTTGCTGTTATTGTTGTTGTTATTGTTATTGTTATTATATTATTATTATTATTATTATTATTATTATTATTATCTCTATTATTATTATTATTTTTTATTG